AACAGGTAAATTAGTTTGCAGTATTAATCTTTAATAAATTTACTTGTTTTATCATGTCATAAATATTATTTTTTTATTCTAGACATATCATACAATGCTTTTTCAGCATTTAGCAGAACAAATATATATTTTTTTAGTATAGAGTGTAGATCTTCTAGAAAGTAAAGTATCAGCAAAGAGAGTGGCAGATAAAAAAACGCTGCATCTAGTATTAGTATATATGTAGTTGGTTAATCTAACAACTGTTAATTGATAATACAAATTTAGTTTGAAAACAGATACTTTTCTTTATATATTTGTTATTATGTATAAACAAATTGATTTCCAGTTAATACATGAGGTTTATTTTTTCATTTTTTTAATTCTGTTACTTTTTTTAGATTAATCAGGTGATGTGTTTGTTCAATATAGACATGCAATTTAAAACCATTGAAAATTGTTATGTTTTGTTAATTTGTTAATAAATGTGTAAATAAAAATAACTTTATTTTTACAAAGCTATTAGACTTTTTTGAAACCACAATCGGTAATGATTCATATTTTATCGATGTACATGAAAGTCTATGAAAATATCTAACACAGGGTGTCTGCCAGATCAGGGAATTCAGAAATCAGGTAATAATCAGAGAAATTAGTTTATATTGTGGAAAAATCAGGAAGAAATCAGGGAAAATGGCTCTTCATCAAACCTACATAATTTATGTTTTATTCAGCAATATCTTAATACTTCAAATAAATTGTTTACATTTTTGCTATTAAAAAGAATCCAAGTCTGGTTTTTCTGAAGTTTTAGCAACTTTAAATTAAATTATGGAAAAACAGGTAAGTGGATGAGGGAAAAATCAGGGAAATCAACCTTAAAATATTGGCAGACAGTTTTTTTTAAACCTTTTCCAATTTTTTAGTATAAAAAGTAACATTTTTAAAGACCTATAGATATTATATGCATAACATATATAAAGGTATTATATACAAAACCAAAGGAAGAGAATTTTTTAAAAAGCTTTTTTAAAATTTCTAAAAACATTAAAAAGCTTTAAAAATTTCTAAAAACATGATAACACGGTTGAGCATGTTATGATAGAGATATTTAAGTTATTAATGTGCTTCGCAATTAGTTAAGTTTGTACATTAAAGAGGCAACTTTCTTTCTTATAGAAAAAGATTTAACATAGAAACTTGATTTTTCTTTAAAATTAATGGGGCAAGAGTTCTAATAAGCAGCAGATCTGAAAAAATTGGTCAGTATGGAATAGACTTTCCATGACCAGTATTATACGAGTCATATTAAGTCCGTTGTTTCATATATTCAAGTCATCTCATGTTTTTTGAAACATTTTATACCATATTTATAAGGTAATTAGTTAACACAATTCAGGCAGGTATTCTAAATATTATTTAGACTAATATTCAACCCTTTTGTTACTAATATTCAACCCTTTGATAAATAGCAATGTATACCGAAACATTTAAAGTTTTTTTTAATTATTTATAATAGATTTTTTATAGCTTTTTTTATAATTAAATTTTTTTATAGCTTTAATAAGTAAACAATAAATATAGTTTTTCTTTTTTTATATGGTTATTTTTCTAACGCTTACTAAAAAATATTGAAGTAAGGATTAAGTATAAAAAAAGTCGGTGTGGAACGGTGTGGAATTCCCAAGACATTTTATGGGTCATGAAAGCTAGTTTCTTTCTCTTTTCTTTACATATTTTTGAGGCATCTAAAAGATAAGAGAAATAAATTATCACTGTATTTTCAAGCACCAGTCAAATGTTCCCCAGCTAGGTAGGTTGAACGTTCCCCACACATGTTATATATAAACAACTGTTAAAAATCAAAATCAATTTTTGAAGTAAACCAAACACCAAGGTTTTTTTAGTTAATAAACTAAATAATAAACAACCGCTTTAGAAAAAAAAGTTTAGGAGATTAAAATTGGAAAAGAGATTCTCTGCAGATTATTTAAAACATAAAAAAATTACCTTTTATGTCAATAATGAGATTTTCTTCTATCTAAGTACTAATATTAATGAAGATGGATAGACACTTGTTTTCCCCCATGCATAAAAATTTCAAGTGGTTATTTAATCATGCTGGGAAATATTTGAAAAGGTCGAATGTCTATATTGTCAACTATATTGTTAACTATATAGTGGGTATAATCCAGTTTTTCTGAAGACTGCCTTCATAATTTCACGACTAAGTTCTTTAATTTTTTTCATGAGACATTTAAGCAATGCTGGAAACTGGTCTTTTGGAAGAAAAGGTTATTTACCACAATTCGTCAAACATGTAGCAGACTTAATTGAATTAATTATTTTCTAAATACTCAATAACTAAAATAGTTTAAACTTTACTTACTTATTACTTTTTCTAAATTGTCTATATAAAAAAATAACAATGACTCAATAAAAAGAAAGAAACAATCAGGAATACATAAATAAACAACTGTAAAAACTTTGTGGATAATTGTAGCATAATAAAGATCTTTAAATGAATACTGAAAGCAGAAGACTAAATACTAAAATAATAAAGCACAACAAAGAAACTGACTTATCCTCTCAAAAGCATTATCTAAAAAACAATTGAAAAACTTTTTTTAACAAAATAATACAAACATTTGTCTAGACTATATATACTGATCTTAAGGTCAAATATTTGAAAAGGTAGAATTTCCTATAGTCACTATATAAAGTTACATTTAAGTAATTGATAAACAAGATAAATAAATAAATTGGTGCTTAACAAACTTAATAAATGGGTGCTCCATTGGTAGAAAGCGTGAAGAACCTATAAAGGTTCTTTAAAAAACTGTTTGGGATTTGAGTATACTGAATTGTAATTGCTAAACTATTACTTGTCAAGAGAAAAACTGTTCATCAGAATGTAACGATGAAGCCCACATTAATTTCATGTGCGAAAAGAAAAAAAAAATTCCAAAGAAAGAGTTTTTATATTTGGGAAAAAAGCTAAAATACTAGTACACATCAAATAAGATTAGCAGACTTAAAAGAAAACAAAAAACTAGATAAAATTGAAGAAAGAAGATTGAAGGAAGTAGTAAGATTTTTGAAATTAGTTATGTTTTTAAATAATTATTAGTTAATAAATAAAAATTAATTAAACTCCTATGTATAATTAATTTTAGTTATATTACAAATATCTGCCTGTTTCGACTTTAAACTAACAAAAGAAAAATTAAATTCATGACAAACTTTTGACATACGACCATTTGTATTTTATTTATATTAAGACAGATAAAAAATATATAATTAAAACTTGTACTTAAAGTATTTTACAAACCATTATTTAATGAAAATTCAGTTTATTTATCTATAGTTATTAATTTGCTAAATTTATTTATCTTTAGTTAAAAAAGATATTGTCTGAATTTAGCGAAACAGAGAAACTATTTAGTAATGAATGTTGCAATACAAACAGTAAAACTGAACTCAATCTAATGTGTCACAAAATGAAGTTCAGGAACACTATATATGGTCAAAGGAATTATGAAAGTATTTCTAACATAGCATACGGTATGGTGCAGGCTTACAGCAAACAGCTACAATTGTGATGGCCGCTTGGATGCATGCAGGAATAATTAAAGAAGACAATACCAAGTTAGTTATTGATCACAACAAAGTCAAGCAAGCTTAAGAAAAAATTTTGCAGTCTCTTACCATAGGGTTTGACAATCAATGCAGGACTAGCATTGATTGTGTTTTTTTTTTAATGGCAGAATTGATAATACAAAAGTTCAATTAATAGTTGAAGGTTTTATTATATAAATTAATAGTTGAAGGTTTGACTAAATATTATCCTGCTACAATCAAAGAGGAACATTATAGAGCACGTCAAGAATCTGGTGGTAGATATCTTTTCCATTTCACACTTGAAAAAGTTCAGGTGTGAAATGCTGAACTTTTTCAGGTATTAAATGCTGAACCTTTTCACGCTGAAGTAATTGCCCAGAATATATATGAATTTTTGAAAAATAATGGTACCAATAAAAGCTTAAAGGCGGTAGGTGGTGATTTTCTAGTGTTAAAACAGGGTAGTCAAGTGGAATAATATATTGGCTAAAAGTGAAATTAGAAAGAAAGCTAAACTGCCTTGTAAAGAACTAGACTACTCTTGATGAAGAGACTCTGAGCAGCAACAAATAGAGAGGCAGTACTGAAAAATTATTAAATGACATAACTGATCTCGAAATTAATCCATCCTTTGAAAAAATTGATGTCAAAAATTCTCTTATTACTTTAAAGGATGAAATAATCAAATATTTGTCCTCTGATTAGCCATTAGAAGAGGAAATATATCCACAGACATGGCTTTACTTGAAATTAGACTAGACTACCTCTTATGGGCCGATTCCTACTTGTGCTCTGACAAAGAAGAAGTAAAACAGATTATATTTCAGCCTATGAATGTTCCGAATTGGCCTTGTCATGGGCAGTCAATTGAAAGACAAGTTAAACAGGTAACAGAAGCAGCAAGTAAAGTTTATTCTTATCAAAAAAGGGATGGCTTTATAATAGGGAAGGATTTATCAAGACAGTTGATGTCTACTAATTCGTCAAAGAAAAATTTGATCTTAATTACCAAAATTTAAAAAATGTAAATTTTGTTTTGTTAAAAAAAATATAATAAAAAGAATTCTTATTTTATTAAATAGATAACTAAATGATGGATAAATGATTATAAATAGAAATTATTTTAAAAGTTTTAATAATAATAGATAAAAAAATTATTTAAAAAAAAGTTTAAGCCGTAAAAAATATACAACTACAAGCAAAAATTTGCTGTTCTTGCAAGAAATTTTCCGTGAATTTAAACTTATCCTAAACCACAATTCTGGCAACTTAATCATTTTGGATTTTTTTTAAACGCAGGGTTTTCAATCCAGAACAAAAAATAGTATGGCAGACCTTAATACATAAGTGTGTGATTTATATTGACTCGCATACAAAACAAAAGCAAGCAAAATGTTTACCCATCATCAAACACTAGTGAAATTATCTGGTGATTTCGAAAGATTCTAACATATCTCCATACAACATCATTGATAAGATTATCTCCAAGAGTTATTATTTCTTCAATGTCATCTAAAGACAAATTAAAAATTTTCTTTGCAAAATGTAATTAATTAATTAATAAGTTTCCTAATGTATAAATTAATGTTAACAAAAACCTAACAGAACTATTTTAATTTTTCTTAGATTTGAGAAAGCAATAAAAAAATATTTTACTAATAACTAATAAAACAACAAAATATTTTACTAATAACTAATAAAAACAACTAATAAAAAATAATTTAATACCAACAGTACTAAAAAATTTCACATTTCAGTTCATAAAGTTAATTATTTTAATTATTTTGTTTCATTTTATTTTTAAAATATAAGCAAGGAGCTAATGGGTTCTTAAGTTGGTTTAATTCACTTTGTTTTTATATTGCTTAAAAGAGAATGATCATGATTAATTTAAATAAAATAAATTTTTTACTTTTTATTTTATGTTATTTGCCTCCCGCAAAAGTCCGTGAGACTATTTTTTCTTTTATTGCGGTTACACCTCTTTCCACTCTTAAACTCCAAAACACAAACCTTGACAAAGAAGGCTGCTGCACAGAGAAACAAGTTTTAGCTTAGCAAATTATTTCCTAAGTTTAAAACTCAGTTTTACTTTATCACAATTTTATAAATTATAATTTTTCAATTGAAATATTTGCACTTATAACAATTTTACATTTTTGTTTTTAAAATAAGTTACTAAAACAGTAAAACTGTATTAACACATTTAAATTATTATTTTTATTTCACTTTTAGTGCAGATTAAGACAAAACGTTTTAGATAAAGTATTTTTTTTTTTTAAATTGAATTTAAATATTTTTAAAGGTATTACCATATTACCATATATCAATAAGATATATTTTTTTAATTCAATTTATTCATTATTATTTCATTACCTTTAGGAACACAAAATATATTTCACTATCTATCTATCTATCTATCAATCTATCTATATATATATATATATATATATATATATATATATATATATATATATATATATATATATATATATATATATATATATATATATATATATATGATATATATATATATATATATATATATATATATATATATATATATATATATATATATATATATATATATATATATATATATATAATATTTATTTAATTTAAAAAAGAATTTTATTGTATTTATTATTTTTATTATTTTGATCTTGCAATAAGTGTAGAATTGCTACAACTATGCATCACCTGGTAACAGCTGCTACATCTATGAGTCACCTTGCAGCAGCTGCTACACATATGCATCAGCTGGTAGCAGCTGCTACACCAATGCTACACCTGGTAGCTTTTTGTTACATAGTAAGTTTAATATGTGTTAAATTTTCATAACTTTGAAATATTCATACAGGTTAAACTTACTTAATCAAATCAAATAAGTTTTAAGTCTTGTTTTTAGATTTGGACTATTATATAACTGATGACTTTTTTTTAGAAAAATGGGGATAAATTAAAATTGTAAGACTATAGTCTTAAATTTTTTTTCATTTAAATTTATCATCATTTTTGTTGGTTTTAGTTAGGTAACAAGTCGTCTATCTGAACATCTAGGGTCTAAATATCAAGGATCACATTTAAAATCAGTCAGTTTAGAATGAATGAATTTACCATAGAATATACCAATAGTTTAGATTGGTTAGATGTTTTAACAAATGTATGGGTATTAAGAATGATTTTTCAAATTGAAACATATTTAATAAACTACACTCATTATTTAAGGCTGCATTTGTGAACATTGTCTGCTAAACTTTTTATAGACATGAAAAGAAACACTTGCATTCCCTTTTGACACTAGACACTAAATGTCTTTTTATTTTTTATCACAACTTGTTGTATCTTAATTTTAATTTTTTTCATTTTTTTTTTCATTTTGAAACTTAGGTAAAGGCTGATAATTAATATTATTACTATTTTGTTAGATTGTATTTTTTAATTAAAATAATGTATTTATTCTTAAATTAACTTTTTCTTAAATGAATATTTTTCGTAAAACAATATTATAAATATTATAAATCTAATAAAACAAAAGAAGATTTTAGTTTGTAAAAAGTTTTATTTTTAAAGGATAAATGTCAAGTCTCAAAAAGCAGTGATGTTAAGCATCTAAGTATGTTAAGTATTTTATGTTAAGTATTTGATTTTGAATTTTTAGTAGCAGTAGTAGTAAAATAGTAATAATAAAAAGTAATAAATAATAAAAAGTAATAAATAATAAAAAGTAATAAATAATAAAAAGTAGTAAAAGGCAATAAAAGTAGTAAAACGATAGTAAAAGGATAGTAAAAAAAGTTAAACTCGTAAAAGGTAATAAAAGTAGCATAGTAAAAGGTAAATAAAAAATTTTTAATTATTTTATTATAAATTTTAAACTTTCATTTATATTTCAAACAGCAATATAAAAAAAAAATTATTAAATATACCTTTATACAAAAATCCAAATATTGTTATTAAAGCCAATTAAAAAATAATTAAAGCCAATTAAAAAACAAAATCTATTTTATATTTTAAATTGTAGCAACATTGTGGTGTTCATCCAACTGTAAGTATTTGTATGTTTGTGTTTTGTCTGAATGTCTGGCGCAGTGTTTATTCACTCGTAAGTTCCTATATGTATGTTTTTGTTCTGCCTAAATCTTTAATGCAGTGTTTGCCCAACCCATAAGTTATTGTATGTATGATTGTATTCTGCTTGAATCTCTGGTGTAATTTTAGCTCAGTCACCAACTAGTGACTCTAACTATGCAATTTATGCTCACCATAATTTTTAGTATTCTATTAGATGTAATGCTTTTCTTAATGCATTTCCAAAAGATCCCATTTAATGTTTTAAATACTGCTTACAGATAGTAACCTCTTTTCACTGCTCAAGGTTAGGTAAGGTTAGGATCAGGATCATAATGATCACCCTGCTATTGCAGGCTTGGTTGGGAAGCAGGTGCGTTCAGACTCTAAAGATTTGGGAAGGTTCTATGACTTTATTGAACTATTTGTATCATGACAAATAAAACAAACTAAAATTTACTGTGACCTAGTGCAAAATAAGCAAACTGCAAATGTATCAAAGTTCTATCTACTGGTTTAGTTAACTAATATTTAGTTTGACGAGGCTCCAACTAACAGGTTAGGGTAAACCCTAACTATTCCATATTTTTTCAGTTAAATATATTCAGTTAAATGATAGAAAATTTCATTCTCACCAAAAATCATATAAAAACATTGGTCTCAATATCAATGTAGCCCCGAACAGCGAGTAACTCTGGACACTTTTTGTACTAAAAAAACTATGTGATTTTAAATACTATAAAAACAATATTAAAGTGAAAATATGGCATATGCAACATATCTATCGTAATATGCTGAAGCGATTGGCTGGGAATGCAAGATATTGTTTCACACTTATTTTTTGTTTCTAATTCAATAGATAAATGCTTATACTTTTAAAAAAGTCTTTTGACACTTTGTTTTCTGTTAGTACATGTGTACAATCTATTTTTTCCTTATGTGTCTTTCCCGACTTTCCCCTATAGTGTTCTAGTTAGACGTTGATCAGGAAAAAAAAAAATCACAAAAACACTAATACTTAATTATAACGTTACATATTTATGTAAATGTATTTTATATATATATTATATATACTCCATTAATTAATATTATATATATATATATATATATATATATATATATTATACATTCTTAATTGTCAGTCAATGTTAAACTGTCTAGCCTCCTATGGCAGTCATCCGTGTTTATTACAAATGGCTTAAAAATGATAAAAAACAGGCTATGTTATAAACAAAACAAAATTTTTTAATCATTTAAAATTGCTGTAAGTTAAAATAGTAATGTTGGAAATAAAATTATTTCCAACATTACTATCTATTTATTTTATTTGCCTTTTGCATGTTATTGGATGTTGTGGCAGATGAAAAGAGAAATAAGCAATTTAATTACTTCGTCTGATTTCTGCGTCCCTCAAAACAATATAATATCAAATATTGTGTTACATTTTTAAAAGGAGATTTCTAGCATTAACTTAAACACTACAAAATACTTACTTCCCAGTCAATTATGTGTCCAGAAAGTGGATCATGCATATAATTAAATTGAAAAGCTCACAAGGATAGCTGATTTTTATAGTCCATTTTAATTTATAAGAACCTTCAAACAAGTTAATGGAAAAAATCCTTATCATTTTTATTATGTTATTTAAATAAATTCACAAGACTTCAAGGATTATTGTTTAACAGCAAAGCCATTTAACTACAAGTTAGTTTTTTTTTTAACGTGTGCTATAATTATCTATCCAGGATTGAAATGAACCTATGACTTAAGTTAATATCAAATTTAAACCTAACAGAAACAATTTTGGTACTAGCCCGTCAACTTCTAGAGATAAACTAACCTTCTTCACCTAGAAAACGATTGAAAGCGATGAAAAGCTTTTAAGCATTTAAGCCATAATTTAATGGTTATTAATTATAATATAACAGTAGAATCTTGTTAGATAAAATGGTAATTACCATTTATTTTACTATTGTTTCAGTTACAAAATTTAAAAGTAATTAACTACTTCAATCACAAAATTCTAAAGTAGCTAAAACTTTTTTAACTACCGTTATAACCACAGTTAGAACCTTGATATAGTGAAGATATGACTATTTCACTATGACAAGGTTCTAACTGCATTTAGGAGGTATTTGTTATTTAATGAAGAGCGAAACATTTTTTATTTACAAATAGTGATACTAAATGCTTATGTTATCATGGGTGAAAAATATTATCAAATAATACTAATAAATTTTTATAAAACATAAGAATTTTTGACAATGATTTACTCATAACTAGCCATGAATCAATTAAAACCTTGTCAAACCAACTTATTGCTGATAATATTTAGTGAGTGGGGTTTTTAATATATTGTATGTTTGTGTTCTGTATGGACCTCTGGCACATTGCTGGTTCACCTTTAAAACACTTTATGTATTTTTGTATTTTGTTCAAACCTCTGGAGTGGTCTTCATCCACTCATAATTCACTTCATATATGTTTATGTTTGTGTTCAGGTATCTGTAAGTTTCTGTATATTAATTTATTATTAGTTTTATTAAGTTTAAAGATTACTATTTTTTAAATTTCAATAAAAACGCAATTATTGTTGAAAGACTTGTTTTTATAAAATCAATTTTATAAATTGTTTTAAAAGATTTACATTGAAATGATAAAAAATTAATCTTATATTATATAACTTACTAAACTTTATATAATTTTCAATAAAACTCTTTCAATAAAACTTTATATAATTTTTATTTTATAAACAAAAAATTGCTGCTTCATTTAAAAGCGTTTTGCTAATACAAAAACATTTGATTACAAAAGATTAAAGTCACGAAGAGAATTTTTTAGCGTGTTAAAACCTAATTTTTCTAACATACACGGATACATAAATTTGGATGTTCTCAAAACATCTAAAAAGCCTTAGTCAAGTTGTCACAACTAAATATTATATGTGTGGTCAGGAATAAAGTGTAATTGAACCCGGTTCCTGAACATGCCCGCTATTGGCATCATGTAACCCAGTACTACCTGCCTCATGTCCTGCTGCCTTAAAGGAATAGCTTTATTAGGCAAAGGCTAGGACAAATATAATCTGACTTAAAATTCCCTTGCTTTGGGGCCCTTGATTGAAAAAAGGCTCAAGATGATGTCTCAATAAAAATAATCATCTAGGACAAATGTTAATTGCATCTAGCTACTGTCTTGTAAAGACCAGCCTCACCAACTTTCTTTATCTATTAGGCTAGCATAGGTGTAAATATATATTAGATTGTTTCCTGCCTAGGATGATGAATGCTGGATTTGTATGACTTTACTCATAGATTTTTGTTTGTGCCTTCTTGATAGTGGCTATGCAACTCTTTCTGTTATTTACCATGCATGCATAACATACCATGTTGCACATAGATAGTGTTCCTGATAGTGTTTTTGGAGTGTATCGTCAAGGCCACATAAGCTCTTCTATTAAACTAATCTATGGTTCCAATAATATCAACAGCGGAGAACATTTTGACCCCTCTAATTATTATCCGATCAGTCTTCTGTATTCATTTTTTGTGCAACTGTAGCTAAGTTTAATTGTATTTTGGTTTATCTTCCTAGATCTCTATTAGCAAGGTCTTTGTATTTTTAATCAACAAATTTCTAACATCCCATCTTTAGTCTAATAACTTACTCTCTGATTATTAATATGTTTTTTGATATCAAGATTCTATTGTGCATTAGATGGAGTCAGCGAGGCAAGAGCTATTGCACTTGACATATCAAAACTTTCAATAAAGTTTGGAATGATGATCTTCTCCATAAGCTTGCTTCACCTATCATGAAAACAGCAACTGATTACAAAGTTAGCATCTGCTTCTCTTTATTGTGCTTCTCTTACTCCTGATTCCATTCTATAAATACGCCTTTTTAGATTACCTCTACAAATCTCTTATTTGTCCCTATATGAAATACTGTTGCCATATTTAGGCTAGTTCTTCAAATGATGCATTTTCTTATCTAGACAAGGTCCAAAAACCCATGTTAAAACACTGATTAACTTAGTTTATGGAATTGCAACCAAACACACACAAAATACATTTCAATCAAATATAAATACAAGTTTTTAAGAAATTTTTTTACCAAATACAATACAAATGCAAATACGCCAAAATAGCTAATTTTAACCAAATACAAATACAAATTTAAATACAAACACGTATTTGACCAAAACCTTTGCTCATTATTCAGCAAGGTCACATCCTTTTACTGTATTTGTCTCTGTATGCTCTGAAATTTTTTATCCATCTAGTTTTTTCCCTGCACTTCAACCCTTTGGAACTCTCTCCCATCTTTATGTTTTCCTGACTCATACAACCTCTAACTATTGAAATCTTCTGTCAAGCCTTTTTAACTTTTTTTTTCTAATTCCTTGCATTTTAACACTATTATTTGTTTTCTAGCAACTAGAAAGTTTTGTTAGCAGTGAATTAGATTTAAAAAAACAAAAACTTATCTTAATAAAAATATAAAGATTGATTAAATATTGCAGTGTCATAGAAAGACTTGCTATTGGGTGTCATTGTCCTTTAAATACATAAAATATTTAAAATCTGATTTTTTTAATTATATAAATCTGATATTTTAAATATATTTTTTAAAATTGTAATAAGTAATTAGAAGTTAAAAATATCCTTATTAACACTTGCAAACTTTGATTAGAATCTGTAAATCTAGAAACCTATGTTTTAGCCTTGTTTAAAAGTTCTAATTTGAAAAGTATATTGAAAAATTAAAAATTGAAGAAGTAACCTTTTGATTTAGAACGTAAAACCAGGGCATTTTTGTGTAGTTCAAGCAGTATGTATCCATCTTTTGATTGATTAGCTTTGATGAATAGAATAATACCTGAACTTTGGTATGATTTAAACCGAACAAAAATCTCAGTGTTGTAATAATTTAGCTTTGCATGTGGTTTCCAGATCAAGTGACCACCATGAAATTGCAATGATTGCGACGCTAAATGAAATTTTAATGTTTTTAAAATATATTATTAATAACATATGAGTGGCACAAAAACAAGCATTTTTTTAAAACAGTAATAAAAACTAAAAAGTTATTTTATGAGTTATATTATTGTATACATACGTGTCTGGCAGGTTTCGCCTTGAAACCCGGTCCCTCTACAATCACAACTTGTTTTAACATAACGATTCAAACATCTACCCTTATTCAAACATTGCTGGGTACTTTGAGAGAGACATCTGTCTTCACATCCTAAATACAAATATAAATTGGAATATTAAAAGTAATTGGTAATTTAAACAAAATAATTCCTTTGATTAAACACCTTTTATAAGTAACTTTTTTATTAGCAACAGAAATTAAATTTAAATAACTTGAATATATATCTATATCTTGTTTACTTTTCTTATATTATATATCTACATTGGTGTATTTAATTTGGTATTTCAAAAGCTAAAGGAGACTTAACCCAACCATACCCTAAAGAGTATGCTGATTCCCTGATTCCCTGATAGTGTTACACTATTACTATGTTACATCAAATGATGCATCAAATGATTCCCTGATAGTGTAATGCTGATGTAACACTTATGCGTTAATCATACGGAAATTTTATTTTGAAGCGCTTTAACTACTTTAAAAATATCATGCGTCAAAAAAAATTCATTGAATCACAATATTGTATGGTGGCTAATAAATTTGATCATGGTGACTGCACTCTGGGTTCAATTCCGATTGGAATCTATTTTTTTTTTTTAAGAATATCTTTTTATTAATTAACTAATTGTTGCTAATATATTAATAATAATAAATATTATTATAATAAAAGACACGACGGGTAATAAATAGTAATTCAGTCAATAAAAATGTTATTCAATGTTTTTAAAGAACAGAGCAATAATAAATTAGTAAAAGCACTTATCTAATTCTTTTCTTTAACAACTTGTTTCTCCATCAGTAGATTCATCAGGAAGCATCAGGAACTTCCTGATATTAGTTAAAAGGAGTAGAAGAAAAAATTTAAATAAGTGTTTTTATTATTTTATATGTATGTATATATATATATATATATATATATATATATATATATATATATATATATATATATATATATATATATATATATATATATATATATATATATATAAATATATATATAAAAGAACTCACTTCTGCTACAGCATGGGGCTCACAGTGACTGTGAACTTTAATTCAGATAAACCCAATTTTTCAACCGATCATTATCGCAATATAGATCTTTATATATTTAGGAACGATAATGTACTTAATGAGTCATCTACCCTTCTACTTCTAGGATTAACTCTTACTTCCAATCTTTCTTGAAAACCTCAGGATTCTATTCTCTATAAATTGTCAAATCTGTCCTTGTATGGAATACTGCTGCCATATCTGGGGCGGATCTTCCCATCGTGACCTTTTTCTTTTAGACAAGGAGCAAAAAAGCATTGAAAACATAGTTGGACCTGCTCTAGATGCCAACCTCCAACCATTATCACATTGTTGTAATGTTGTTTCTCTTTCTTTTTTCTACAAATACTAAATTGGACACTGCTCTAAAGAGCTAGCGTCTATTGTGGCATCTACTAAAATTCATTCTCATGTTACTCGTCATTCAATAAAGTCTCATCCTTTTTCTGTGACTGCTCCTTAGTGTTCCAAAAACGTTTGTCTATTTTTTTTCCTTGAACATCAGTTCTTTGGAATTCGCCTCCTTCTTCTTGCTTTCCTGATTCATATAATTTGCAATTCTTTAAGTCGTCTGTCAATCGTTATCTTGCTCTACAAACTTCATCTTTTTTACTTCCAGTAACTTTTAACTCTAATAGTGGTTGCTTGAAGCTTTGTTAGAAGCAAAGATGTTAAAAAAAAAAAAAAAAATTTATATATATATATATATATATATATATATATATATATATATATATATATATATAAATTATACTAAGTACCAATCATAAGTAATAATACAAAAAAATCCACATGTGACATTTACACAAGATAAGTATGCGTAATCAGACAGGAGACAATGAAGATAGTAATCAATATGAGGAAAATATTGCCAACCTATCAAAAGAAATTTGTCTTATATGGAAAATGAATGATTAGGTTGCTGTTTTATATGAAAAACAATGGAATATTGGATATACTGTGGAAGTAATATTATTTAAAGCATATATTAGTTTTCAAGTTTTTGTTTTGTTTTACAAAATAGTGCTTTAAAATAAAAGCAAAATAAATAAAATGTAAAAATAATTTGAGAAAAACATTATATTAGACTTTATAAGTTTTACTGAATGTAAACAAAATTAACCATTATAAATAATATATTTTTGTTCATTATTTCCCAATAGTTTTGGAACATGCATTAAAAAAAAAATCAACCCTGTAATTATCATTCCATTAAAGTCATAAAGCCATGTTTCAAGTTTAGATTATAGTGAGGATTCCATTATTTCAACAAAATTAAATTCAACTTCAACTAAATTAAATCTGGACAGACTGAGATCTGGTTTGAAGTGTACCTCTACTTTTGATTAAATAAAAGTGATTATTAAACAAATAACAATGTCATTAAAGAAACTACTAACCGAGCCCTGTTCCATTCTCTTGATGTACTTTTGGAGTATAAAAAGTTGATTGACTTGATTCTTGAAATTGAAACTGTGTTACACAACCAATAAAACTAAATAAAAAAACTTATTTCATCATTAATTTATTACATAGTTATTACTTTATATTTATATATATATATATATATATATATATATATATATATATATATATATATATATATATATATATATATATATATATATATATATATATATATATATATATATATATATATATATATATATATATATGGGAAGGCGGGGTAAGATTGCGAACATTTTGCAAGCCCTAAGTTATTGAAAAATTATCAGTCATGAAGCAGTAATACTTTTTCAGTATGTTCATGTTATCAAAATGATTCATTACTAGCATGAATTTTCAGTTTGCAACCAGAAATATTTGAAATAAAAATTGAAATAAAAAGTTCATAAATATGTCATCTGGTTATGTCACCGGGACAAGATGACTTATTATCAGGGTTGGCATTAAAAAACCCGCTCAAAAAAACCCGCTCAAAAAAACCTGCCCAATAAAACCCAATAAACCCACTTAAAAAAAAACAATAAAACCGAGGCAATCTGGGTTTTATTGATTTTTTTTAAAGATATTTTTAAATTATGTTTAAAAATCTTTTTCAAAATAATTTGAAAATTTCTTTATATAAATTATTAAACAACAATATACAAAATATATTTTTAATGAAGTTAAAGAAGAAAATTATATTAATTTTCAATGTAATTAAACAAAAAAAATAATTTAAAAGATATGAAATAAATAAAAAACCTAAATTTACCCAACCAAACCTACTGAGCCGGGTTTTTGCCAACCCTGCTTATTATGCATTTTCTGACTCTTTAAAAATTTAAAAACTTCCAATTAATCTAACTAATGAAACACAAAATAAACACGCATTGCAAAAAAAATTTGCTAAAAAAGTTATACTTGTAGGACATCATTTATTATAAATAACCAAAAGGTATTTTTTTAACGCAAAAAGTAAACTTAGGCATATGAAATTGCGTTAATAATATTTAAAAAAGCCATTGACATTTTTAAATACAGATGTAAATAAAGTTTTGTTATCACCCATTTTATATATATATATATATATATATATATATATATATATATATATATATATATATATATATATATATATATATATATATATATATATATATATATTTCATTCATTTCTCGAGATTGACATTGAGACATATTCATAGTCTGGTTCAGATTAACTATTAAAGAAGGTGTTAAACTTAAAAAAAAAATGAAGAAAAAAGCTAGCTTGGTCAAAGGCTTTGACCAAGCTAGCTTAACCACTTTAATTAGCTTACAACTTTAATGGTAAACCAAGAATATCAAGTGTTAGTATTGAAGAATAAACAAAGAGAAGTTAAACTTAACTTCTTATAAGCTTCTGCAATAGCACTAGGTCTACCAGACCAAAAAGCAGATACTCTTGTTAAAAGTATAACTGCTACTCTTGATTAAAACTATTTATGGAAAATAAAAAGATGATTGTAACAGACAGCCTGCAAATGTAAACACTGGAAAAAGTATAGGGATTGTCAGTCAGTTACAAAGATATTTTACTGAACAAAAAACTCAAAGAACCACAATTCATTGGTTGTCAACATCATGCTTTTGACTGACTCTTTCATGTAGTAATGGATGAAGAGCTAATAGGAAGCAACATTTTGCCCAATTTAGAATATCCGCTTATCCCGAAACTTGTAAAGAACTGCGAACAGCTCAATTTTAAGAATGGTAAAGAAATTATTGCTGAAACAGCTGGATGACGTGATGGTCATGAAATTTCTGTTTTCTTTAACTCAGGTATTCCACTTTTTTTTAAAAAAATCTGGAGTACTTTATAAAGTGATTTTTTCAGAAAATACCTAAATTAAATTATGAAAGATGAGAGAAGAGAGAAGAGACTCACTACTCGACATTTGAAGATTGTAGATGGGGGGACCATTGGTTTACTGACTAAATGTACAATGTTGATGATTATCGGAATCTATGTAGCAGCTTGCACAGTCAAAAAAAAGCATTAAACTCAGTGAAAAAGTTTTGAAAACAGGAATGATTGAGACTGAAAATTCCCAGAACAAACAAGTGTGCGGAATAAGCAATTAAGTTTCATTAAGATCTTTTTGACATCTGTAAAAAGAAAGAGAACCTCCAGCTTAGATTTAGTTTGTTTGCAATTATGCTATTAGTTTGTATATTATGCTTTAATTAAGCTATGTGCTTCTTACCATTCAATATACTATACAAAAAAGTAAGAAAAATATCAAAACTGAGTTTCATGAATTGACTAAACATTCTTTAAAAATGTGCCTTTTTTACTAGAATTAAACAGATAAAAATATTTAAGAAAAAATAAATTAGAATAATATCCCAGGTAACAAGATAAAAATTCAAAATTACAAAAATCTTCAATTTTATAGAAAAAAATGACTTCAGTCTAAGTGTCCATAAAGAACTTTGAAAAAACTGATAAATGTAAACAACTTGGTCAAAAGCTCTAAAACCATAAAAATCTTTTTTTTAAAAAAGAAAGATATGTATAAACAGAGTAATATGTAAAATTACTCTGTTTAACTTTTTAAAAAACTCATTAGAACCTTCATTTAGTGCTAATCTAAAATGAAAACTCATATTTTATATCAGAACCAACCAATAAATTTCAGCTAAATCTTAGGCAATCATTAAGATACGATTGATCCACTTGGTCTGGAATTGTTATAGATGTAAATAGAAATAGTAATAGTAGTAATATATTTGAGCTGTGACAGTGGTTTTGGTGAGAGTACCAAGTACACTTAGACAGCTATATCATTATTCAGTTAAGCTTTAAAATTAATAGAAATAGCATTAGCGACATCAGTAGGTAGTCAATTCCAGTAATATGCTCTGTTTGTTAAAAAATAATGCCAAGACAACAGCAAAAAATTACTAAAGTTTAGACAAAAAGGCCAACAAATATCAACTGAAAAATAAAGATAAACACAAATAAGTGTGCATTTTAATTTCGAACATTTTAATTTTGAACAGTAGTAGTTCAAAATCAATTAATTTTTTATTTTTTATGAACATTTGTTACTTTCTGACAATATCTAAATCTGAATTTGTTCCCGAAAGTTCTCTAATATGGATCTATTAGGGTAAAAGCATATTCCATATTATGTTATGATAATATGGAATATGGAAAATATATATAAATATATATATATATATATGTTTTGTATGATACTCTATATACTTTATGTATTGTGTTATTTTGTTATAGACTAGTATAATTATAGCTCTTTAAAGCCAACATTATTAGTTTGGTTATTCTTTACAATCAAAAGAGCTAGAATATTATTATGAAATAAAAGAAAGATGGATCGATTCATGAAACCTGACAGACTTGGTATAGATCCAAACTCAGCAGATGCAGCAAAAACATACAACCATTGGGTAAAAACATTTTACAATTTTGTAAGTACAGTTGATGATAACTCCATTAAGCTTAATCTCCTAATAAACCATATTGAACCTAATGTCTATGAATTCATATCAAAGTGTAATGATTTTGAACAAGCAACAAGTATTCTCAAGTCTATCTACATAAAACCAAAGAACGAAATATTTGCCAGACACATTTTGGCAACACGGAAGCAAAAAACCAAGTGAAACAATAGATCAATTCCTCAATGAACTTAAAAATTTATCTAAGGACTGTAAGTTCACTGCTGTTACCGCTGAGCAATATAAATCTGAAATGATTCGCGATGCGTTTATAAATGGCTTACTCTCCAATAGTATACGCCAACGTTTACTAGAAAACAAAATATTAGACCTTTCATCAGCCTTTGACCAAGCTAGATCTTTAGACGTGGCCCAACAAAATTCAAACTTACACTCACAATTGACTATACCTACCTCTGCCTCTATTCAGGAAATCAAATCACCTTTAAAAAAAACAGTCCATGACTGATAATCACTTAGCTGCTACAGCAAAATCAAAACAATCGTGCTGGTTTTGTGGAAACATAAGACATCCACATACTAAATGTCCTGCTCGCGAAGCTATCTGTCACAAATGTAAAAAGATTGGTCATTTTGAAAAACTTTGCAGATCATCTAATGTTTCTGCTGCTATTCCTAAAATTGATGATGATTACTTCTGTGCCACCATATCAGCTTCAGCAGACTCTCTATTCAGAGTTTGTCATAACATCATTATTAATGATAGGTATAAAGCAGAAGCATTAATTGATAGTGGGAGTACAAACAAAAGTTTTATAAGCAACAAACTAGTGACTCTACTCAATTTAAATATTATTTATGAACAGAGTATAATTGGAATGGCATCAGCTGCCTTATCAGCAAAATCAGATGGATTATTATGCGGCCTTATCAGCAAAATCAGATGGATATTGTTATGTCTCAATAACTCTTCAAAACAAAATCTATAACAAAGTCAAGTTGCATGTGCTGGATAACTTATGTGTAGATGTTATTCTTGGCACAGATTTTCAAGAGTTGCATGAAAGTATTACCATTAAGTATGGTGGGAAAAGACCACCCATAACATTCGCTGCTTTAACAACAATGAAAACTGAACCTCCTGAATTATTTGCTAATTTCACGCAAGATTGTCGACCGATTGCCACTAGATCTAGAAATTATTCTCAAAGAGATAGAGAATTTATTAAATCTGAAATCCACTGCCTGACTCAAGCAGCAATAATAGAGCCTAGTAATTCACCTTGGCGTGCCCAGGTCTTAGTAGTAAATGAAAAGACTAAACGTCACATGGTTGTTGATTACTCTGAAACTATTAATAAGTATACTCAACTAGATGCATATCCTCTACCTAAGATTGAAACGATTGTATAATTTCTAAATACAAAATTTATAGTACTCTCGACCTTCGCTCAGCATACTACCAAATCCCTTTATCAAAAAAAGATCGACCATATACTGCTTTTGAAGCTGACAATAAGTTGTGGCAATATACTAGAATGTCTTTTGGAGTTACCAATGGATCTGCATGCTTTTAACACAAAATAGATGACTTTGTTAGAATATATAAACTAACTGACTGCTTTCCTTTCATTGATAACATTACAATATGCGGTAATAGTCAGAAAGTTCAGATTAGTTGCCATTGATGCTGGAATTACATTTAATGAAGAGAAGTGTGTATTTTCAACTAAGACTTTAGATTTTTTAGGTTACCGTATATCGTATGGCTCTTTAAAACCAGATCCTCAGAGACTTGCTCCTCTCATTAAGTTACCCCCACCTGATAATGCAAAGTCTTTACAGCGGATTATTGGAATGTTTTCGTACTATGCAAAATGGATAAGAAAGTTTTCAGATAAAATTAGACCTTTAAACTCTGTTACTCAATTTCCACTCAATCAGCAGCAAATATCAGCATTTGAAACATTAAAAAATGAGCTTGTTCAATCTTTCATGCAAACCATTGATGAGAATATAGCTTTTACTGTGGAGACTGATGCTTCTGATTTTGCCATACCCACCACACTTAATCAGGATGGAAGACCTGTTGCCTTCCATTCACGTACCCTTCAAAGGAGTGAACAATACTATTCATCAGTGGAGAAAGAAGCTCAAGCAATAGTTGAAGCCATAAATTATTGGCGTCATTTTCTTTTGGGTCGACATTTCATTCTCATCACTGACCAACGATCTGGGGCGTATATGTATGATTATAAATCAAGCAGTAAAATAAAGAATGATAAAATAATGCATTGGAGAATAGCTTTGTCTCCATATTCTTATGATATCCATTATCATCCTGGCCAATGTAATAGTGGTCCAGATACATTTACTCGAGTTAAATGTGCAGCAATAAGTTTAGAATCTTTATATAATTTGCATGCTTCATTTTGCCATCCTGGTGTTACTCGCTTCCATCATTTTATTCGATCAAGAAACCTCCCTTATTCCATAGAAGATGTAAAACAAATATGTAGGGATTGTAGAATATGTAAAGAAATAAAACCCAAGTGATGTGCACCTGATTAAGGCAACTCAGCCATTCGAACGTATATCTATTGACTTCAAAGGCCCATTACCTTCTTCCACCCCTGAACAGTATATGCTAACAATTGTAGACGAGTACTCACGTTTTCCATTTGCTTATCCTGTGAAAGATATGACAACTCAGACAATAATTAACTGTTTAGCTGATCTTTTTTTCCATGTTTGGTATGCCTAGCTATGTTCATTCGCATCGTGGATCCTCATTAATGTCTTCTGAATTAAAGCACTGGTTCTTATCGAAAGGGATCGCAACTAGTAGAACAACCCTTTACAATCCGACTGGAAATGGGCAAGTTGAAAGATACAATGGAATTATTTGGAAGGCGATATTACTTACTCTGAAATCTCGAAATCTGCCTGTATCATCATGGAAAAGAGTTTTACCTGATGCACTTCATGCTACAAGATCTCTATTATGTACTTCTACTAACTGTAGTCCACATGAACGTTTTTTCAATTTTCAAAGAAGATCATCATCTGGGTCCTCTCTTCCTTCATGGCTTGTTAACCCAGGACCTGTACTTATAAAAAGAAATGCAATGCAAAGTAAATATGAAGATTCAGTAAATGAGGCTCAGCTCATTGAAGCAAATCTTCATTATGCCATTGCGAGATTTCCTAATGGTCATGAGACTACAGTGTCTACAAAATTGGTTCCTATCGGAACTCCTGTAGTACAAACATCAAATGACAATTTAGAAATAACAGCTATTGATAACTACCCCTTAACCCCCTATTGGTAGCAATGAAACTCCGTTAGTCTCCGAAGGGGAACTAGAAAGCAGAGTGAATCCTATAGAGCAAAGTAATCTGTCTCCTCGTAGATCTTCACGAATTTCTAAAGCACCAGAAAAACTCAACTTATAAATACACCTGAACACTTTTAAGAGGAGGGTGAATGTTATGATAATATGGAATATGGAAAATATATATATTCATATATATTTTGCATGATACTCTATATACTTTATGTATTGTGTTATTTTGTTATAGACTAGTATAATTATAGCTCTTTTGAGCCAACATAATTAGTTTGGTTATTCTTTACATGGATCTATTAGGGTAAAAGCAAAAAATTAAAGATAATGTTAGGAAATAACACAAAAATTACATACCTTATAATTTTTTAATAAAAACTAAATAAATTTTTAAAAAGTAATTAATAACAATGTTAACTTAAAACAATGAGTATAAAAATTACACAAAAATACCTGTTTTCTTTGCTATCAGTATATACTTTTGGTGCTCCGCCAGAGTAAAGTAAAAAATTTCCCATGTATGAGCTATCGAAATCATTTTCAGTTATTGTATGAGTTTCATCTAAAACAAGATAGATTCTATTGTCTTTTAATCCAACTTTAACATGGTGATACTGGTTATCATTAACAATAACATCTGTAGTACTGAATCTATCAAAACGACGAGCAACCTTGAATTTAAAAAAAAATGTTTTTGAAGCAAACCATTATATATTTAATTTTAATTCATATTATTTTGAAAAAATTAGAAAGATACTTGAGCAGTTTGGAAAATAGGGGAAGGAAGAAGTTAACAATCAATAACTAGCTAGAATGAGCAAACTTAATGCTCAAATTTAAACTTATTACATTAAAAAAATTAGATATTTCAAAAAAATATATACAAATTTTTTTTTAAACAATTTTTATAATAATAATAATATTTATTATTATAAAACTCCCTCCCTCTCTCACAGGGACAAATACAGTGAAAGAATGAGACTTTGCTGAATGACTGAATGAGTCAAAAAAGAATGAGTTTTAGTTGATGGAACAATAGATGATAGCTCCTTTGAGAAGCGACCATGGTAGTATTTGTAGAAAAGAGAAAGAGATGCAAATTTACTACAATGGAAAAAAAGCTCAAGCTTAGCAGATAGAGTGAGTCCAACTACGTTTACAAAGCGTTTTTCGACCTTGTCTAGAAGAGAATAAACATCATAAGATGAACCAGCCCAAATATAATAACACTATTCCATACAGGGACAAATACGAGATTTGTAGAGGTAGAGAATTGAATCAGGAGATTAAAATGGCGAGTTCGACAAAGAGTAGAAACCTTAGCAGATGCTAATTTAGCAATCAATTGTATATTTGGTTTCCATGAAAGGTCAGTAGTTTATGATAATCCAAGAAGACATAAAAAAGAGGATTCAATGAGAGGGTTATCATGCATTAATATAGGTATGTCAACAGTAATAATAGACAATATTTGATAGCGTGTAAATTGATTACATCTTTTCAATCTTTTAATAATACAAATGCACTCTCATGCTTAAATTGAGGTTTTAGTGAAACAATAATTTAGTTAAATAATAACTTTAGTGAACAAAGCATACCTATTGTTCACCAGTACTTTTTTGCCAGTACTTTGATCCTCATAACAATGATCACGATCCTCTTAACTGAGTTGATTTATTGTCTGTTGCAACCAAAAATAATATTCATATTGTGGAAATGCACGGTTTGTCACATTTGTATTTATAGTGGATTGTTTCCAGTTTAAGATTTTGAATGGTGGACCTTCTTGATAAATGCATAGATTTTGCTTGTGTATTTGTTTTTACGACTAGGCAACTCATTCTATTATCTTCTAATGAGGTTACAGCTCTAGAACTCTGTTTTATGGTTCTGAGGCCAGCTGGTAGTCAGGTTTCCTAAACTCTGTGGTAGCTCTCAGAGAGGCTGATTCCATCAAGCTATAAAATATCAGAGTAATAACAATGCCAAGTTGCACATGGATGGTGTCCCTGTTCCTACTTTTGGTGTGCATTGTCAAGACCATTTGGAGTCCTTTGTTACGACTTAGGGTTTATTAATAGTATTGAGGCAATTGTTTGGACTACTAAACAGTGTACTGAGTATAGGGTTGCCAGATGTCCGGCTTTTACTGAGGAGAATACAGCGCCAAACCTGTGGACATCTGGCAACTCTGACTGAGTACATCTATGTTTTGAGTCAATTTCTTTAACAAATTTAAAAATGAATACAGTACCTAAAACTATAAAACAAAAAAAAACCATTGTTATCATCAAGTTCTCTAAACCTATCATTCACCAATATTCAAGGTCTTTGAAGTAACTTTTCTTCTGTTGAGTCTTATCTCATGCAAAGTTTACTAGAACTACTTGTTCTTTGTGAGACTAATTTGAGTTCAGCTGTCTCATCTTGTGATCTTAACCTTGACGGTTATCCTCCTTTAGTTTGTGAAGACTCCAATAGTCACATGCTCGGCCTGGGCATCTACATTCATAAGAATTCACCCATTTGTCAGATTTGACCCCACAGACTATTCATTTATGTGCTTTCGTTTAGCACCACTTCACTCTATTGCTTTTTTTTTTGCTCATACCACTCTCCTTTATCTCAAGATTGCACTCTTTTCGATGGTATTTCTGATCAGATTGACCAAGCACTCTCTCTTTATCCATCAGCGAATATCCTTGTTGTTGGTGACTTTAATGCTCATTACATTGAATGGCTTGGCTCTAGTGTTAGTGACTCTGTAAGCATTAAGGCCCACAACTTTTGCCTTTCTCAATCTTAAACACAAATAGTCAACTTTCTGAATTGTTTTCCATATTTTCCATATATTTAAATCATTTCTCGTCTCTACTCGACTTATGTCTTGTTTCTGATCCTAGTCAGTGCTCAATCTCTAGGGTTTCGAGGATTTCGGTAACCAGGTTACCCAAATCTTCAAACCCTAGTGTCAAAATCTGAATCATACGAGAGAAGTGGAATTACAGATTTGCCTTTATAGAAACTGTTTAAAATTCTCTAGAAGTCACGAGAGTCTAATTTTTGAGATGAAATATGAGATTTCATGACCTGAGAATAGCGGACGTAGACGTTACTAACCTCCATAACAGTTACTTTTAGTTTCTGGTAACTGCGGTAGCTTGAGTGTAACTCAAGGTAACTTGAATGTAACCATGGAAATATAAGAATCTCTTATACGTCCATGGTGTAACTTATGATAACATTGTATACTTTCATATACCTGTATATAGTTAAAAAATATAACTTAAAAAAAATTGAATACTTTTATTGATAGAATGTGAGAAAAATTCTTACATTATCAATAACATTGGCGTAGATTTTATTTAAGTCATTTGTGTACAAATATTTAAAAGCATTTTTCAGTAAAAAAAAAAAAAAATGGAGAAAAAGTAAAATATTTGGCCCTTGCTAGAAATAAATATACTTTTTTACAATTTCTGTTAGTTTAGTTTCTAAAGTTGCAAGAGAAATTTTAAACTTGTTGTAACTATTAGGGCGTTGAACGCCACGTTTAGTTTAAATCATTTCAATAGGAGATTTCGGTAGTAGTCATTTTGGAAAAATATTCTTAGGGGTACAAGTTGAACTTTGAACTTTCCGTTTTTATTCGAAATGTCATATAAAAGTATGAAAATTTTCTTATTTTAAGTTCAAAATAACTCATAGATTATAAGTTAATTTTTAGTTTATAATTAAACAAAAAAATGTTAAACTTATTGCAAGAGCTTTTGCTGCTATAAAACTTATTCTTAAAATTATATCTTCACAATTTAAAACCAAAAAAAAAGGTGATATTACAGGGCTCGAATTAACGCAAAAAAATCTAATCGCAAAAAAAAAAAAAAATTTTTTTACCCCCCCCCCCCCCCTTTACTTTGCACCGCTTTGCGGTAATGGGGGGGGGGGAGGTAAGTTGCGTTAGTATATAATTGTAAGTTTTGTACGTAATTGTTCTATTTTTAACATATTATCTCTCATATTTAAATATAATCTTATAATTTTCTTGTTTCGCAGAGTTTAAAATAGCGTAAGTTACCGCTATTATTTACAACTTAAGTTATAACTTAAAGTTTAAGTTGCACTTGTAATAAGCAACAACATTTTTAACACTATTAAGATATTTTTTAAGTATATTTTTACTTAACATGATACTTAAAAAAGTAAATGTAAAAAAGTAAGAGAAAAAGCAACATTACAATATCTAAACCACTTTAATTAGTCAAAGAAAACTATTTAATACGTTCATGCTGACGTTAAAACACGTTAATTTAAAAAAGTATTTAATTGTTAAAAGCTATAAAACAACATTAAAACAAACTGCAAAGTTGTTTTAAAAATATAAAGAGCTTGGAATAATGTAAAAAAAATTCGTGACGCTGTTTCGTTTTGATTCAAAATAAAATGCGTTTAAAATAAAAGGAAGCAAATAAATATTATTGAGCTAGTTAATAAACTAAAACAAAACTTCTTATTTGCGCCTATAGACCTAGACGAGTTAGTAATCTATAGACCAAACGAGTAAGATCAAAGCAAAAAAACATTAGATACCACGTCTTTTATAAATTATCGTTTCCTGATCGAGCGTACTATTAAAAATTTAAGTATAATTAAGTTTTTTCATTTTTCAAAACATCAGTTTAATAAGGTTTTTAAACTGATTTTTTCATTCAATTTTTTTTATTCTAATTGTTTTCCAAAAAAAAGTGAAACAAAAAATTTTGTTTAATAAATCGAATTGAGTGGGTCAGAAGCCAAGGGGTACAAGTGACAATTTTACCAAAATTAAGTTAAGTATAGAATTTGATAAAAGAAGCAAACAAAATTGTTGGTGGCCAAGGGATACAAGTGAATCTCTGCCCTGTGCTGCTTTCTACTGGAAAAACATAACAACAGCTGAGTATATTTAACAAAAATACTTTAACTTTAAACAGCTGTATCTCAAAACTATAAAAATGTCACTTGTACCCCTTGGCTTCTGACCCACTCAATTATATTAAGTGTAAGAATATGCTTAAATTATTTTTTTTGAAAAAGAAAATTTTTGAACAGAAGTAAAATAACTTATTAAATTTGATTTAAGATTTTTATAATTTTCATTTTAACTTGCAAATTGCAATCACAGCTTTGATGTTTGCAATAGAATGTTTCTACTTTTAAAACTATTTTCAAGAGAAAATATATAATTCAAAACGTTAACAAAATTTATGATTTACGAAAAAAAACTTTCATCTTCATTCTCCCTTGTTTCATCAAACTTTTTTTCAATTTTTCAATTTTTTTTTTCAATTTCACATTTCAAGCACAAAATTATTTGAATAAGTGAATTTTAGGGCTAAAGTTCTCTTGTTCAAATAGATTTCTTTTTAATTAAATTTCCTGAAAACAGCTTGCGTATTTATAAAAAATGTTTAGTCTAGATGTCGCTATAAATAAAATGAAAATATAAAAAAATGGTGTCGCGTTTTTCATATTCTATTCGACAATTTTTTTTAAAATAATTACTAGTTAAAAGCTTATATTATGTTTTAACAACATGAAAGATCTAAATTGAAACATGTCTATGGCTAACTTTTGCGAGTATAATAAATAAATTAATATAATTTTAAATTAATACTTGAGTTAAATTAATACTTGAGAGAATCTTAAGTTACTATCTTAACTTAACTGGTTGTTTCAATTTAGGTTATAAGTTAATTTACTGTGATATACTCTATCCATTCAGTAAAGTTAACTAAATATAACTTCAATAGTTTCAAGGTCGTTAAAAGCGAAAAACGTGAAAGCAAAAAAGTTGCTGGTTTTACTAATAGAAATTTTATTTAATAAAAACGAATATATTAATATATATTTTATTATACTTAAAGTAGTAAGAATAATTAATATATATTTTATTATACTTAAAGTAGTAAAAATAGTTATATAAAATTGTTTATAAAATAATAATTTAATTCATTATTAATAAGTTAGTTTGGAGCAACGTTTTTTTAAAAAAAGATAAAAATGATGTTTTGTTAAAAAAAAAATAGAATGAAGAAAAAATTCTGTTTAAGTTTTGTGTTTTTAATTTGCTACTAAGCAGATATTTAAAGTAATTTAAATTAAAAAGTGCTTTACGTTGAATAAAAATCTCCTCGCGAAAGAGCTAATAATGATCATGCTTATAAAATTCAAAAGACAAACTTTGCGTGACGTACTTTACTACGAAAACATTACTTTTTAAGAATTGCCAAAAGAAAAAGCTAAATTAGAAAAAAAGTAAATAAACAACTAAAAAGTAAACCAATCGCGAAAATATGTTTTAAGAAAAAACTAATCGCGAAAGTTTTCATATGGTATAGTCTGTACCATTGGGGATGGTACAGACTATACCATTTGGGATGGCCATGGATAGAGTACCGAAAGTTTTAATATAAACTCTCTATATAAAAACGATATTTGTTTTTACACGTGACCTTTAGTAACCAATAAACGCGCTATTAAAAGTTGAAACTTTCGGTTCTCTATCCACGGCAAAAATTTTCATACTATTATAATCAAACTTATAATCTATGAGTTATTTTGTACTTAAATTTGAAGTTATTTTGAACTTAAATTTGAACTTAAATTTGAAGTTATTTTGAACTTAATTGAAAATTTTGATTATTAAAAGGGGTTTTGTAGTTAATTTTTTTTGCGCACGCTTTCAACGAGAAAAGACGCGTTTTTCTATTGCTGCTAAAATAAGTTTTTTTTTTTGAAATAATTCGAAAATGGCAAAATCTTTAACAATTGTAAAAAAAATTTTGAAATGTCATGAAAGCACTCTACTAAAAACCTTTGGAGAGAGATTTGATAAATTAGAAGAAAAATTTTGCAACGAAATTGAAAAATTAAAAAACGAAAATGCTTTACTGAAGAGAGAAATAGCTGAAGTTACTAAAGCAATGAATTTCCAGAATGAATATTATGAACAAATTGTTAAGGAATCAAATGACCTAAAAGTTAAACTCAATAATTACAACAAAGACAACGAGAATCTAAAATGAGTCGAAATTATTCAAGATAAATTAACAGAATTAGAAGACAGGAGTAGACGAAACAATCTTCGTTTTGATGGCTTTGACGAAAGAGAAGAAGAAACTTGGGAAGATAGCGAATCGAAAGTTAAAGAGTTCTTAAAGGAGAAACTCGGAATTAAAAAACAACATTGCAATTGAAAGAGCACACAGGACTGGGAAAAAGCACGTATCTGGAAAAAGAAGAAGAACTTTCGTGTAAAGTTTCTTAACTATAAAGATAGAGAAATCGTATTAAATGAGTATAAAAAAAGAAAGCTATAGAACGAAAAAATATATCTCAACGAAGACTATAGCAATCGCACAATCGAAAAAAGACGATTTCTATTTACAAAAGAAAAAGAACTTCGACCTGAGGGTAAGTTTGCTAAAGTTATATATACCAAACTTGTAACGCGCGCCTCAGAAGTATAAGAAATTCTTTTAAATCTTATTCAGCACACAAAAAAATGATAACAACAAAAAATATAAAATGGGTGACTATGAATCACTTATTTTCAACTTTAGAAACAAATGCATTGGATCTGATGAAAACAGAGATCCAGATATTAATTATTTTAATGACTTAAAAATAGATTGTTTTTATCATTCTGCAAGTGAGTTAAAAGAATTTCTTTCTAAAAATGGCAATGAAAACAAAAAAATTAGAAAAATTAAATTTGGTGTTC